CCTGATACACGGAAATAGGTCAGCTTGATGCTGACATCCGGAAGGATATCATAAGATATGAACAAGTGTTCATATCTGCAGGAACAGGAACAAGTGGACAGTGTCCAGGTGATACAGAAAATAAGTATTCCACAACAAGTATAATAAAAAAATAATATTAAAAAAATATTTTTAGTTTTTTAATGTCTCCTCCACTGACCGTAAATGTTCCCGAAAAGGCCTCGAAAAGGCCCACAGACCATTACTTGCTAATCACAGTTGTAGCTTGTTTTGCGGCTCCGGACACATTTTATTCGTGAGACTAGGAGCACAAATGGCTCTTTTGATCGTAAAGTTTGCAGACCCCTGGCCTAGCCAATGGGTATTTACATGGCTTCTGTTTTTATACTAACATTCACGTCTTAATTCTGTATTTATTGCCTTATTCTTTACACATATTGGAGTAACTGAACACAACATATTTTTCAGATGGTGACCCTGACGTGATTTAAATTTATGTATTTGTTTTTATCCTTGTTATGATGGGTGGATGGATGAATGGACTTACATCCAATATTATTTCTTGAAATTGCAATTAAAAAACTGTTCAGCGATTCATGAGATAATTTTCTAACAGACAGATAGCGCTCACTGCAAAGGTTAATGCCCCAGTTTTACCCAAAGATATTGTGCAATATTTTTTTAACTCAGACTATTTGCTGGAGATCATTTTTGACTACTACCATACCCAACTACAGCTCTCTATCTGTGAAACTGACTGGGTTAGAGTCATCTTTGTGTTCAGAGTTAGTTGGTCATTGCAACCGTTTTAATTTCAGGTCACTCCAAAAGTTAATCACCTGTAGAGGTATATGTCCATGAAGTATTTGCTGAAAGTTTCATTAAAACTGATCCACTGGTTCATGAGATAAGACAAGACAGGAAGACAGTCACAAGTAAAACTTTGTCTGCCTCAACTTTTAGAACCTGAAAGGAAAATAAAAATGACATTAAATGCTTTGAAAGTAAAGTTTTCACTTATTTTGTGAAATATTTTCAGTTGTGCTTAATGTTTACAGGGTTTTGAAGTATAATCCTGTCAACAATGTGCACTTTAATTAGTTAAAATTGTGCAAAAAAAGTGAAAACTTCATCTTTGTCATCTGAAAAGAAATGAAAGTGCAGCTGGTCCTCTGTCACCATCGAGTGGTTGAAAGCAGAACAGCAGCTCTGAAACCAGCTGAAAGCACTCGGAGAGTGATTACCATCCAGCAGCAAACACAAGCAGGTCTGAACAAGTTTTTCAGAAGTTCATTTAGAAAACTGGTTCTTTCTTTTTAATTATTTGTTGATAAGTTTTATAGATGAATTTGAATGAGGTTACCTTTGCTTTTTTTGTTGTTTCTGTGGAGCTAAATGTAGCAAATATTGAAGCCAGACTAGGATTTCTTGGTAAATTGGTTTTATATTTTTTGTGTTTGTGCTTTTATTTTCCTAAGAGATGTCAGAAAAACATTTGGAAAGACGCAATCCCTTTAGAAACTGCATCCCATCAGGTCGCCAGCTTCCCCGGACCCCTCCGATGACGGCTGTGAAGAAGCAGCTGAAGTTCTGTGATCCAGAGAAGTGCAAGACCCCAGACACAGATGTATGTTTGTTTTATTGTAGTTGTTTTTTTATATATAAAATGTCATATATTGACACAATCAATTGTATTTCCAGGTTGACACAACAAAGCAACAAAGTCCAGCTCTTGGGTGCAGCTTTACTGAAGCAGGTGATCTCCATGCTCTGTAGACTCATTGAACTTTGACTAACTAGACTCTTGCTAAAGACAGGAAAAGTGATTTGGTCTGTGTTTTTTTTTATTTTTATTTTTTTAAACTAGCTAATCTTGACACCTTGCTGAAGGGGATGAAGGGCTATCAGCCCACCCAGAGTGACTTGGAATTCATTGAAAAGATGAAGGAAGAAAAGCTTGTTAAAAAGCTTCAGGTAACTTTTGGTATTTTTAAAGTTGCACCGCTCATGTGTTAAATGTTCTGATTTACGGGTAAAATTGTTTTGTTTTTGATTATTATTTTTATCCAGGACGATTTGCAAGATTTGCAGAAGCTGCTGAAGAATAAAATGATGGCCTTGGAGCTTGCAAAAGCTTCCAGGAAGATGACCCAGGATGAACTTGACAAGGTATTAAGAAAACTTTCACCAAACATCCTGAAAAACCTTCCAGCTTCTCAGCAGTAAACCCGTGTTTGGTTTTCAGCGAGATGGTTTCTTTAAGATCTCAGGTGGTATAAGGTTTTCACCTGCTTACTGCTACTGAGTTAGAATTGGGTGTAGTAGAAGCTGAGAGTCATACTTTGCTCACATTCTGAAAACTAACGCAAGTAAAGCAACAACACTATCAAGGTTTGACCAAAACAGCTGCAGCTGTCCTGTCTCAAAGTGCTGTGACAGTTTTGTTATAAAAGTAAATGCATTTTTGGAAAGAGAACCATGACCTATTGCAAAAAAAAATAAAGCTCATACTGCTGGGTTTAACATTGAAGTAACAGGAAGTAAAGTCAAAAAGAAATGTCTGAATGTGAACAGAGCGTTAGTACGACCACTGAGAGCACAGTAGAGACTAATCTGTTTCTTTACATAATTTTGAGTCACTATGAGAGAGAGAAAGAGGGTCTTTCCCAATCGGTGGCTACTCCCTTGCCCTAATCACTCCTCACTACGTTTGTGTGTGCCTGCGGAGGGTTGGCCATGTTAAGTCCCATCCAAAACCAACTGTGTACGAGTGTGAGTGGCTTATTAAAAGGATCCATGATTAGTTATAACATTAGACTTTATTTGATAAACATGTATTTTAACTGTAAAATAAAGGCTGTAAAAATACTGTAGGCTGTTCAGTTTTGTAAATTTTAAAAAATATATTTTAACACAGATGGAGCCATTTTATTTACACGCAAAGCATTCTGGGTAAATGATGACGTGGATAGGTCCTCGGTGTGAGCGAGCTATATCCACCCTGAAGGTTAATCTTGGACAGAGTCAATCATCAGATATATCCGTCCGTGTAATATATTTTTAAACTTTTGGTTTAAAAATTATAAAAACTAAACATCCTACAGTGTTTTTACAGTCTTTATTTTACAGTTAAAATATATGTTTATTAAACAAAGTTTAATGTTACAACTAATCATGGATCCCTTTATGCCCTCCACAGCGAGTCTGCATCCAGTGCAGACTTGAGCAGCAGGTGTAACACCAAATAGTGGTCGACATGGAGCACCGGACGTATAAATACAAGTTCCACATGTGTTTTGTACACATTTACTAATCAAACACCTCACCAACAAATACAATTTCACAAAGACTATATAAATTATGTTCAATTCAACGTTTATTAAAGACACAGAGCCCTGGTTCATATTTAAAAAAAAGAAAAGAAATGAGAAAAAGTAAATAAATGATTAAAAATATTAAAAGTACAATTGTTTTGACAAGTCAGGACACTGTTACAAATACAGTCATATCTGAAAACACTCTAAAATGTGGGCCTAATTAAATATTTTCTTTGGTCTATTAAAAAAGTGTCTTCTAGACCAGTGGTTCCCAAAGCTGGGGTCGGGACCCACAATGGGGTCCCAAAACATCAAGTTGGGGTCCTGAAAAGATTGTCTGAATTAGGCCTAATTATATTAGAAAATAACAACTAACATTTTTTTTGCCTTTGTTGTTACAAAAGAGTAAGGTTAGTGTACTTTAAAATAGACAAAAATAACATAAGGAATATTGTCACTATGGTCTTATTTTTTGATGCGAAAACAATGTTTATGGTCCAACAAAAGTTGGGGCTTAGGTCTCTGCTGTTGGTATTTTGAGGGTCAAAGGCTGAAAAGTTTGGGAACCCCTGTTCTAGACGATCCAGCAGTGTTATTTCACCAGCATTCAGTCGCTGCCAGAGCTTGGACTGTTACCATGGTAATGACAGCTTCCTGTTCTGGTAGAGAGAGGAGAGCCCGTCTCAAAAGCTGAGGGTGTATAATTAGACCTTACAGCACCATCGAGGGGACTCACTTCAGCTGCGAGGGGGCTTCACAGCGATTGTAGGGAGTAGCCAGTGATTAAGAAAGGCCGGAAGAGTTTCAAATAAAAAACCCCAGAGAGACCCTTTTCTTAACGGGGGCAAATTATATTTACCAGGCGCACAGTTCAAGTCTACACCACAATCATGTAATTATCCTCAGTTATTATAAGAATGATGTTTATATTAAAAATAAAATCCACTTTGCATCATAGTCTATATACACTTAAAAAAATATAAACTCCCCATGTCAAGTACACAATACAACTGGAACCTGGATTCATCCGTGAACATCACTCTTCTCCAGCGTGCCAAGGGCCATCAGACGTGCATTTGCCCATGTGGGTCGTTCCTACGCCGAACAGCAGTGAGATCCAGACCACAGTGATGGCGTCGAGCTTGCAAATTGGCTTCACGTAGGCGGTTACGGACAGTCTGAGGTGTGATGCGTCTGTTGTGCAGACCAGTAAGTAGTCTCATCAGCTGTCTGTGTCGCTGGTCGATCCCCCAGGTAGACGAGCCGGATGTGGCAATCTTGTGCTGGAGCGGTCACACATGGCCGACGAGGGTGAGGTCGATTTGCAGAAGTGCCAGTCTGTTGGAAACAAACTCTCAAACGGGCTAGGGTCCAATAATGGACATTGAACCTTGCAGCTCTGCTCTGGTAGACATCCCTGCGTCCAACAAGCCAATGGCACGCTCCTGCATAACTTATGACACTGGAGGCATTATGATATGTGACAAAATAGACATTTTGGGGTGGCCTTTTATTGACCCCAGTCTAAGGATTGTCCAGTTGTTGCTCTTTTTGTCTGATCACCCACTGGACATGCCCCACCCATGCACTGAGTAAAAAAACAACTCGCTGAGTAATGCTCACTGGCAGCAAGTTAAGATTAAAAATTATACACAAATCAAGAGAAATATTACCTTTGTACAATAAAATGTCAGCAAATGCTCATTTACTGTTGTTAACTCACCATGGAGCAATATTTGACATGGGGCGTTTATATTTTTTAAGTGTAAATGCCTTGAAATTTGCCTCTGTCTATTTAGGAACCTCCTGCCGTTTCTGACACTCCCACTTCAGTACTACAATGCTTCATGTCCTTTACAAGACTTGTTAGCTTGGTAATACTGTATATCTCCAAGTTATCCTCCCATACATATATGTCAGTGTTAAGCTAATTTTTCAAAGAAACCATAAACATAGATCATTCTGAAACTGTTTTGTCATGAAATCATGAACATCCACCATTTTTAAGATAAATTTTGTTAGTTTAATGTGTGTGTGTGTGTGTGTGTGTGTGTGTGTGTGTGTGTGTGTGTGTGTGTATACTTGTTTTTTCCTACAGTTAGGACCATTTGCACCATAGTTACTATCAAAATGAGGTCTTTGTAGCTCTACTGTGCTTTACTGGTTAGGTTTAGAGGTATGGTGTGAATTAAGTTTTGGTTCAGGTTAGGGTTAGCTATAGACCAGTAATGGTTAGTTTTAGGGGAAATGTCTGGGTTAAACACAAACACAGATGAATGGAAGTCGATACAAAATCCTCAGTTTGATGCAAATGCATGTGGGTGTGTTTGTACTTGTTTTTGTCACCTATTTAGGACTGTTTCTGGTATACACACCCACCTTGTCAAGATCAGTAGTCCTAATGGTGACCAAAAACCAGTCCTAATATGGTGGATATCTATTTTTGGGTTGGGGGGGGGGGGGGTTAGGTTTGGGACTAAGGTGTGAATTGAGTTTAGGTTAGTTTTAGGGTCGGGTATGTACCTGTGAGGTTAGCCTTAGAGTTGGTGCTCAGGGTTGGGCTGTAGAAATTCCTGGAAATGAATGGAAGTCAATGAACGGTCCTAATAAGAATAGAAATACAACTTGTGTGCGTGTGTGTACTTGTTTCTGCTGTAGAGTGAGGACCATGTTTTGTTTTTAAACCAACGAAGTGAGGACATTTTTTGGAAGTAGGAGGTGGCAGAGTAGGGGTGCTCTGCAAGGGAGGAGCAATGTACAAATAGGCGGTGCTTTGTAGCAGCAAGCATTTAGGCAGCTCCACGTGGCTACCACCGGAGATTCAAGGACCTGCTTGAATGAGTCAAAGCAACACCCTGGGTATGTTTTGGTTGAAGGAATGACATAACAAAGCTTATAGAGCTCAAAAACATATTTGGCTGAGCCAAGTTCAAAAGAAGAAATGCCAGTTATGTGACAAAACGGGTATAATCATGTTGTAACCTAACCACTATGTTTGTTTCTTTCCAAAATATATGATTGAGACTTAAAGCCAGGTTGGAAAATATTTTCAGGATGTTTTTTTTTTTTTTTTTGAGGATGTGAAACTCTATTATGGATTTCATACTGATAAAAAATAATTGAAAATTGGGACATTGCTGGTGATGAACTGAATTAAGCCTAAGCTGATATTATTTGGAAATATTTATGCTACTGCTCAATTTTTTTGTATAAACATTTATTCCATTATTTTGCATGTTTGAATACTTTTTTGTTAACTTCAATAATGTCCATAAAAGGTAACTGGATTCTTATTTTTTTACATTTAAAAGTATAAAAATTTACCTGATACCTGGGTCAGGATTCCCTTAATCCAAGCTGAATGTTACAATGTGTATTTTGCCAAGATTCTCAAATTAGATTATTTTATTTTATTTTTTGTGTATTTGTGTGTTTGAATGATATGCAGCATATCAAAGACACTTTAAGGTTGCATCTCAATAGGCTATAAAGGTGGCCAACAATGATCATGCAATTAACCGAATGTCTTGCAACTTTCATGAAGCGCTCAACTTCCTTATGTGAGTCACAGAGGTTTGCAGCAAAGTTTTAAGCATTTTTTAATAGAAAATCTGCAGCATATTTCCCTTTGGGATAGACATTATTGTGGGTGTTTTTAACTCATCACAACCGTTGGTTTGTTTGCACCTTTGTACATGAGCTCACCTTTGTCTTTGGATTATTTAAAACTGGTTCAGATCTGCTCGTTTCTACTCTTAAGTGTACTCTTGATTTAACAAAACGTTAGGACTGCACTTGAGGGAGGTACAAAGTGGACTAAGATGTTTACTGAATCCACAAACTTTTGTGGATGATAATGAAACTAACATTTAACCTCCTGTGCTTCTGCATCTCCAACCCTAAATAGTTCCCCTCCTGTGAGGACCTAATGAAGTGGGCCAAACTGGTGCTCAGAAAGACGTCTCCTTTAACAGTGCTTGATGATCTGGACATTGAGTCTCTACTGGTCAGTATAACAACTGAAGACATTCAGAGCTTTATGGAGGAGAAGAAGAAAGAAGTCGATCAGCTTAAGGCAGCGGTGGAAGAAATGTAATTTTTAAAATGTTTAACCTTTTCATATATTTTTACTTGCTAATGCATGGTTTCTCTAGAAGCTTTTAAGAACCTGATTACACTTTTGGTTTTGGTTCAGGTTAGGGTTCGCTATAGACCAGTAATGGTTAATTTTAGGGAAAATGTCTGGGTTAGACATAAATACAGTTACAAAAATGAATGGAAGTCAATACAAAGTCCTCAATTTGATGCAAATACAAGGATATGTGTGTGAGAAACTGCAGCTTTTCTTCTGCGTTTCAGCCGTTCATTTATACCCATTGCTCTTGTCCTCTCTGAAACTGAAAGTTTCTGAATCCTGATCTCAAAGTGGAGATCTTTGGTGTAAATGTGTGGAAAAACTCCATGTGTGTGTACACAGGTGGCGTTGCCAATAAGTTTTCTGCACAGTGAACGGGAGAGAGCAGAGTGTTTTTGTGCTACTCACTCTTTTTCAGCATATATGAGCAAAATCAACAACATGGATCCAAAGGAACATCAGTGAATTCACCAGTCTCTATAGAATTGTGGTCATGCTGACATTGTACATGTGATACACACAGCTTAGCCTGGCATTGCCACATAAACTCAAAAATATGCTTTTTCTACTTTATCATAACACACACATCATCTTGCCAACACCCTCCCAGCACACATGACCGTTTGAATCAAAATACAATCATTTAAAAGTTATAGTATAAAAGTTCTCACTTTTTCTTATCTGGCAAACCTGCCTGACATACTACTACAGAAGATCCATGTAAAAGTAGGCATGTTTTTGCTACATTGTTGGGAACCATTTTTCAGAGAAACGCATCCTTATGAGGACCAAATGCGCCACAGCCCCACGGGTTGGGATGCTAATTTTGGGTGGGAGGTTTGGTTTAGACCAAGGTGTGAATTGAGTTTAGGTTAGTTTTAGTCAGATAGGTATCTGTGACATTAATTTTAGGGTAAATGGTCAGGGTTAGGATATAAAAATGACCAAAGAAAGAATGGAAGTCAATTCACGATGCCCACAAGGATATAAAAGTGTGTGTATGTATATAACTGCCTCAATTCATGGGCTGCACCCTCATGAATGGCCACGTAGGCCGCACCTTTCCCAGTCCGAGTAGGCTGCATAAAACTGCTGTGAAATGAGAATTCAAGCCTTCACTAGAAAAAATAAAATAAAATAAATTGGGTTTAACTCCAGCATCAGTACTTGTAGTTGCATTTTATTTACCATCTTATTGCAGTATGACTTTCATCAGAAATTCTTCGTTCTGTGATGAATTTCCAAACTACACCGACTTGGTAAAAAAATAAAATAAAAACTCCATCTTTGTTTCTCTGTTTGCTGACGGGGAATTGAATCTGCGGATTGGTCCCAGTAAACATTGAAAAAACAGTTTCCAGGAATCGTTGGTGTGTAAACAGGGCACTAGGCTTATTTTCTAGGATGATGGTTTTGCTGAAAAACGATGAGCAGCAGAAGAAACCCTCTGATTTTTATCGTTAACTGTTAGTGCAGAAAAACTCTTGGCTGCAGCCGCCTGTGTGCTCATGTGCAGTTTCCCACCTGGCAAATATTTCCTAACTCTGTGGTACAAAAATAAGTATGAATGCTATACATTGTCATCACTTTGTGTTCCCACACAATGTTAAAATTTGTGCTCTGCATTTACCTCGTTACACGTGAGGATGCATCCAAGTGGAGCAGTGGGAAGTTGTGTAAGCGCCCAGGGAGAAATTCGGAATGAGGTTCTTGCTCGAGGACACCAGAGCATTTGTGCGAGAATTGAACTTGCAACTTTTTTGGACCCAGGTTGGCTGCTCTATCACTGCACCACAGCCACTGTCCACTGTGAGGCCAGGATTCTGAAAACTGAAAACAGAACGAGGGCTGCTGTGGTGGTAATGAGCAAAACGCCTCTGAAAAGCTGTGGTTTCACTCAAAACTGAAACAAGTCAACTGGTCCATCTTCACCACCTATTTAACAGCTTACATAATTTACACTAAAAGGCTTGATTGGGATATAACCTGGAACAAACAAATGGCTCCTACATTCACATCAACACAGGTGTAAAACTAGAATTTGGGTTGTTTACAAAGAGATTTTGCTTTTTATTTCTTTTTACTACTTGCACCTTGTTTCTAATATTCAATTAAATGTTCAGGACTTTTGCAGTAATTTTTGTAGAAAAATAATTAAAAAAAGCTTCTTTTTTTAAACATTACAGCCCAAACTTACGTTTAAATGGCTGCTTCTGACCCTGTTGACCTATTTCACTCATGGTGGTATTGATTGGCGGAAAAGATGAAAATCCAAGAGTTGCAGTTTTATTAAACTGGAACAAGTCTTGAAGAAAAACATGTTTAGTTTAATGAACAAGGAAAACCTTTTATTTTTTAACTTGGCTCTCATACCTCCATAAAATTGAGTTTTAACATTCAGTGTAACATCTTAAAACTGTTTTCCATTAAAGGAAAAAAAATTGTATAGGTCCTCTGGACGGGTTCTTCTTTAATGAAACGTTTCGTCTCTCTTCCAAGAGACTTCTTCAGTCTGAGAGTTTCAGGCAAATTCAGGCTTTTATGTCCTGCCTCCAGGTGACTGATACATCACATGACCATCGTTCACAGGTGACTCATACTTACATCACCTGGCTATCGTTCACAGGTTACTCATACTCACATCACATGGCTATCGTTCACCCTAATTAATACCTTAAACTGAGACGTTTATTTTCTAAACATGTCCCAGTAGCTTTCAAACCCCAGAACACATTACGGCAAAGGCTGGTTCACCCCAAAGATCCGGTGCCCCGGCACAAACAGAGCAATGTTGTATATGCTGTTAAGTGCCAGGAGGACTGCGACCAGTTATACATCGGGGAAACAAAGCAGCCACTGTTCAAAAGAATGTCCCAACACAGACGAGCTACATCTAATGGCCAGAACTCTGCAGTTTTCACTCATTTACAGGCCAGCGGTCACTCTTTCAGAGTTGAGGATGTTCTCATTCTTGATAGAGAGGAACGTTGGTTTGAGAGAGGAGTAAAAGAAGCCATTTTTGTGAAGAAAGACCGTCCATCATTAAACAGAGGTGGGGGCCTCCGTTTTCAGCTGTCCCCCTCCTACAGCGCTGCCATTGGCAGTATCACTCCACCCCCTGTTAACAAAAGGTATTAATTAGGGTGAACGATAGCCATGTGATGTAAGTATGAGTCACCTGTGAACCATAGTCATGTGATGTGAGTATCAGTCACCTGGAGGCAGGACATAAAAGCCTGAATTTGCCTGAAACTCAGACTGAAGAAGTCTCTTGGAAGAGAGACGAAACGTTTCATTAGAGAAGAACCCGTCCAGAGGACCTATACAATTTTTTTTCCTTTGATTTTTTACCTGGATTACTGAGATGCATCAGGACATGTTTTCCATTAAATGTGGCGTTTTTGTTTTTAAAGGAATGAGACAGCTGACAAGAAAAGAGGGCAGCTTGAAAATCAAGTTGCTTGCGAGAAGGTAAAGGCTTCAACTTGAACCATGGTTTTGTGAAATTATTGCGACTGAATTTAAATGTATCCCCTCATTTTTCAGCTGAAGATCCAGGAGCTGGTGAGGCAGCTGGCTGACCTGAAATCTGAATTATCACAACAGGTATTTTTAAAATTTATTCATTTTAGAAAATCAATTATTTGCTTTTAAAAGTCTGTTCTCAACTTAAAACATACTTGAAGTCTCATTGCGTGTACTCTGAAAGGAGTCATATCAGCCTCCTGAGGTGCAGAAAGAACCAGAGGATCTGGAGGAACCACAAGCCACAAAAAGCAAAGAAAAATATCAAGGAAGTGGAAGGAAGGAGGTGAAACTTTGTGAGGCAGCAACAAATGGTAACTCAACCAGGCGTAAACACACAAATGAGACCAAGTCAAAAGGAAAGAAGAGAAAAGACGTTTTGGGAACGAGGCCAGAAGAGAAGCAACAGAAATCTGCATCAGAACCAAAGACTTTAAGGTCAGCCCGAGGAAAACCACGAAACAAACAGGAGGGAGAGGTCTCTGAAGCGTCTGAGCAGGTGCAGAGGGACAGACGAAGGCCTGCCGGAACCGGCCCGAAAACAGCTTCACGAGCAGAAAGTCAGAAGGAGGTGAATCCTGAGGGGAACCGGACCACTCGAGCCGCTTCACAGAGCGGGAAGAAAGGAGCCGCGGCAGAAGCTCAGCCTCTCGGTCTGAGGCGCTCAAAGAGGATTGCCAACAAAAAGTAAACCTTTGTTTCATTTGTTTCTGGTGTTTTTCATGAAGAATGAAGTCAGACTGAGTTAATGTAGTAATAATCTCCATCAGTGGAATGACTTTACTCTATTTTCTCATATTCTGACCTCAGAAAGCTACCTGTCCCACTCAGTGCTCCACAGATTTTAAATCTTGTATTCCAGGTGAGATGGAAGGGTTTCTACAAGAAGTCTGTGCCAAAAAGGATTTTTTGGTGTAATCAAACTTTTTATTTTCTTTTCTTACCTTGTCCCTTTTTTAAAAATTGCTTCTTGGTGAGTTTATATCTTTGAAAGTTGTGGAGTGAGTTGGAAGTTTTTAATGGCTTTTTTCTTCATATTTAAAATACTTTGGACAACTGCTTTATCGAAATAAAATTATTTGTTCAGATCTTGTAAATTCATCAGTGATGCATGTTCTGCAAAGCTTGTGAAATGTCACCATCCTGGGCTTCATCACCAACTAGACGACCTGCAGAAACTGACTTCTGAAAATAATTAGCCTCCTCAACAGCACAGCTGTAAAGGAGGTAGATTCTGAGCATCTCCTTCACCAGCGGTGGAACACTGAAGCAAGTGGCTCATGGGAGACTGCAGGCACTAAAACAGTGGTTCTCACTCCTGATCCTCAAGGACCCCTAAACTGAATGTTTTAGTTGTTTCTCTGCTTTGGCTCGCCTGATTTAAATGGAGTGATTGACAGATCTTCTACAGAACTAAAACTTATTGAAGACCAGGGAAAAAACTAAAACATGCAGGAGGGGTCTTTGAGCAGGATTAAGAGCCACTGCACTAAAGGGCCTAACATACTCGATCCAAAGCTGAACTGACTCCTTAGCCTGTTAGCTTTAGCGTTAACCCCAATGCTATCACCATATACTGTATATATGTATTAGCTCAGCGCTACACATTCTCCTCTCGTCACTGAGGTCCTCCATCCACATGACAGAGAGGAGAAGGTAGAAATGACTCGGTCTGCAAATGAAAATATGGATGGAAGACCTCAGTTTAGCTTGTTTGTAGCGCTAGCACTGAGCTAATACGTAGGCTGTGTCCAAAACGGCAGGCCCGGTCCTCTGAAGGCCGAATTCGTCGGCTGCATACGTCACAGCGCCGCGACGAAGGACGTACAAAACCGAAGACTCCTCCGAAGCGGCCGACAAATGTGTCCTTCCTTTGGCCTGATTTGAAGGACAGGTCTGATGGATCCTTCCCGGCCCA